TTTTTTTTTTTTTTTGAGACAGGGTCTCACTATGTCACTCTAAGTAGAGTGTCGTGGTGTCACAGCTCACAGCAACCTCAAATTCTTGGGCTTAAGCGATTCTCTTGCCTCAGTCTCCCAAGTAGCTGGGACTACAGGTGCCTGCCACAGTGTCCGGCTATTTGTTGTTGTAGTTATTTTTGTTTTGGCAGGTCCAGGCCAGGTTCAAACCCGCCAGCCCCGGTGTATGTGGCTGGCATCCTAGCCTCTGAGCTACAGGCCCTGAGCCTTTTCTCCGTACTCTTCCCACAGGACTCAAGTTCACTGCCATGTCCTCTGAAGAAGGGAAGCTCTTTGTGGGAGGGCTCAACTTTAACACCGATGAGCAGGCGCTGGAAGACCACTTCAGCACCTTCGGGCCTATTTCTGAGGGTGAGACGTGGCCCAGACCTATTAAAGCTGGGTGGGAGGGGAGGATAAAAGGAAGCCTAAGACCCTTTGATTTCAAGGAACTTGAAGAGAAAAAACAGTAATTCAGGCCTTGAAAATTCTCTTTTTCCTAAACCCAACGTGAAGACTTAGACAAGGGAGAACCTGATAATTTTCAAGATTGGTAGGATGGGTCTGTTCTCCCTACCTATCTCCACCCCCTTTTCAGGCTGCTCCTTGCCACTTACCCTTTCTGGTGCTGATTGATCCATTTTACTCCATATCCTTTCCCTTCCTCAGTGGTCGTTGTGAAGGACCGGGAGACTCAGCGATCCCGTGGTTTTGGCTTCATCACCTTCACCAACCCTGAGCATGCCTCAGATGCCATGAGAGCCATGAATGGAGAGGTGAGGTCTCTTATCTGCAGAGGGGCCCTGCCTCCATCTGCACTTCTTCCATTCTTTCTGTTTTTCCCTCTGTGTCTGCTAGGGGCACTGTGGCCACCAAGCCCCGCAGTGCCCACTCACAGGAGCGTGACTGCCTTCTGTTCTAGGGGGTGGAGGGCAGCGGCAGACAGAGCCGGGCTGCCTGGGAGGCGACGACTGGTCCTGCATGAGGCCGAGAAGCCACCTGTGGATGGTTCACCTGCCTTGGGCTTAGGTAGTAGAGTCTGCAGACCTGTGGGCCTGGCCCGGAGAGGACCTCGTGAGTCTTCTGGGATGGACTCTGAAGCCTCAAACCAAGAGAGGTGTTTATCTAGCCCTTAATAGTTGGGCAGTTTAGAGGAGTGGGGAGGAGAACTGGCCTGAGTTCAGACAAGATGTAAGTAGTGGCAGGGGGAACATGGTGGATTCAGGTTATTTTATGGGATTCTATAGCTCCTGATGAAGCCATTCTGGTCAGAGGAGCTTATTCTGGAACGTGGCACCCAGATCCTGGTGCTCAGCAGAGATTTCTGGACTCTTTTGCCCACCTGCCCACGCCCCCTCACTACTGCCCTGACTGACTGCCAATCCATCCTCCTTGTGTCTCCCTCCCACACCTAGTCCCTGGATGGTCGCCAGATCCGTGTTGACCGTGCAGGCAAGTCTGCCCGGGGAACCAGAGGGGGTTCCTTTGGGGCCTATGGGCGTGGTCGCGGCTACTCTAGAGGTAAGTGCAGTGGTAGGTTTGATCTGTGGGGTTAGAGGGACAGTCACCTATTGGTGGCCTGTGGATGGACAGATGCCTTGTAAATATTTTTCTGCCGCAGGTGGTGGGGATCAAGGCTATGGGAACAGGTATGATAATCGACCTGGAGGCTATGGATATGGATATGGACGATCCAGAGACTATGGTGGCAGGTAAGTAGCCTTAAGAACTCAGATGACGGCTCGGTGCGTGTAGCTCAAGTGGCTAGGGTGCCAGTCACATATACGAGAGCTGGTGGGTTCAAATCCAGCCCCAGTCCACCAGTGACAACTACAATCAAAAAAAATAGCCAAGTGTTGTGGCGGGCGCCTGTAGTCCCAAGCTACTTGGGAAGCTGAGGCAAGAGAATCGCTTAAGCTGAAGAGTTCGAGGTTGCTGTGAGTTGTGATGCCATGGCACTCTACCCAGGGTGACAGCTTGAGACTCTGTCTCAAAAAAAAAAAAACCTCAGATGACATCACATCTTGGTACTACTAGCATATATGTTAAAGTATGAATCTTAATGTTTCGAGTTATATAAAGTGACTGTACTGTCATAATCAAAACATGGTAGATGATGTGTGTTGATAGTACTGTGTTGGTCAATACCTATATATTGCTTTAACGTGTAATATGACTACTATATAAATCGTGTTCACAAAATTGTGTTTACTATATGATGTTAATATACTTTTCTGTTTTATACCTATAAGATGTGACATATATGGTTATTAATACTAGTGGCGTGTAAATTTAGCTGTATGTAAAACTTTCCTTTTCTCAGAAGCCAGGGAGGTTATGACCGCTACTCAGGAGGAAATTACAGAGACAATTATGATAACTGAGATGAGGCATGCACACATACTGTAGGTGAGACTGGATATTGGTACTGAGCAGACCCTGTTTGTCAAAACCTGTTGTGTCCCTCTTACCTTTTCTTCTGGCCAGACTGCCCCCCATTTCTAAGTCTCCCTTGCCCTGTGGTAACATGTCAGAGCTAGTCTGCTTAGAGGAGGGAGGGATCTGAAAACCCATCTGCAATATGCTCTTGGGTGAGATGGAGAAGTGTCCTTGTTGCCCAGCCCTTGGCATATCAACCTGGGAGTTAAGCATGTTGTTGCCCTGTTCCTTCCTAACATTACAATTCTTTCTCTTCTTTATGTCCTCAGATACACAAGGAATAACACTTGTTGATCCAGGATCATCCTTCCAGATGGCTGTATAATAAGATTTTTGGAACTGCACTGAAACATCTGTTTTAGTACACCAACTTCTATTTTTGAATTGCTCTCCCAAAGTAGATAGTAGATAAAGACATTTTAGAAGGCTCTGTGTGTTTTTAATTTTTTTCTCCCATTTAAAGACAAATTTTGGGACATTTGTAGAGTCTGAGTATTTTTCCTCTTACCAGTTTTTTGTTTGGGCTCTCAGGATTATTGGTTTTGGCAAATTTAGCCAGACTTTTTAAAAAATAATAAAAAATTAAAAGTAATGTCTAGGGACATTTTACAAACATGTACACAATGTTTATCAGGGTTAGGAAACAATTTCTAAATGTACCTGTAAGAAATCTGTTTCAAGATCATGATTGCCTGAGGGTGTTTTTTAACTCAAGTTTACCAAACTGATTATATATTAATACTAGAGCTTCTTTAAAAATGTTTATAAGTCTCATTTTTTTTAAGTACTGGAAGAAAAAAATATTCTATTGTCTTCTGTAGTGTTTAGGATATCTTTCACAAAACATTAAACTGATAAAACTTTTTTTTCAATTTTTCTTTGGTCCTAGAACATTGATACGATTGTTCTTTTTCCTTAATCCACTTAGCAAATAAAATATAAACAGATCAGGAGGATGGGCACGTGGGAAAAATTTGGTGGGGATGAGTGAGGACTACCAAAAAGTATAGAGGTTTCCTGAAATGGTCTCTTGGTCCCATTGTCTAATTAGTGTTTGAATTGGAATCTCCCTAACTTCTTTGAGCATTAGGTGGGCACTCTTCCCACAGGATTATTCAAAGAATGTAAGCACCCACTCTCAGGGCACATTACAGAGTGATGCCTTCCTCTGAAATGAGACTTGGGGGGAAGGTGCTAAATTCATCTTCGTGTGTGACAGACCTGGATTGAAAATAGGGTTCTAAGACCTCAGACTGGATTCCGATTCGAAGATTAAACTCTGGGCTCTCATACTTTATCTCATGGCACACTTGAACCTATAATTAAATTTCCACAGCACACTTAAATTGATCAATAAAAGATTTAAAAATATACTTAACTGTGCTTTGAACTTCTTTCAAAACTAATTAAAATTTTTCATAGCACACTGGTTGAAAATCACTAGTCTAGCTGATCTTTGTCACGGTTCTCCCTTTAGTCATAGGTCTTTTGTAGTGGCTGTATTGGGACCCCATGGGTGTTAATGCTCTGTTGGTTCCAGTTTGGAACAGAAAAAATCCAGTATGTTCGTGGCTAGTATTGAACCAAGTGCTACCAGGTTGTAAACACCAGGACGTTATCTTAAATTGCCTTATTCTGTTATTGATGGGGCATTAATTCCTTTTCTGGAGGCCTCCTGGGTCCCTTCCACTCAGTCGTGAATTTGTTTTTGCAGGTGGATAGAGAATTTACCATATTTCTGTTTCAATTGAGTCAGGCCCCAGGTTATGGGGCAATGTGGCTAACCCCACTGAGTGGGTATTTGGTTTGAGGAGGCATTTTATGCTGGGCCTTTGGGGAGCTAAGGCTTTTAGAAGATGCTTTGTGGTGATCAATGCCGTGGAGGCCCCATCTTTTTCCTGTTAGTTTGCTCAGAGGAAAAGGACCCCAGAGTGCCCACAGTTTTCTATGGTGCCACAGTCCCGACCAACAAAGTTCTAGAGTCAAGAGTGCCATTTAAAATGCTTAGTCTTCTGCTTTGGTTTCTCTCCAGCATCCCACTAATGTATATGCATTCCCAAACACTAAAAAAGGCTTACCTAATATATCCTGAGGCCTGCAAAGACTAAACATGGTTTGCAAATAAATTTTAGAGTCCTGGATCTTATCTATACCAACGATCCTTTCCATGTACATTGCCCCAAGTCCTTTTCAAGGTCCAGAATAAATTATGATAACAGATTCACTTCAGTTTTCAACTTGACTTTCCTACCTAAGCCCTGTCCCTTCTACCCAACCTGACAGAAATTACTGTTTACAGACCCTGCTTCGTGGCTTAATTCCTCTGTCTCAGTTTCTATTTAAGGCAAGCACGAACTAACTAACGTTTACTGAGGAAGAGAAAGAGGCTTACAAAGTAAAGAAGCTTACAAAGGAGAATACATTCACCATAGACAGTGAACGGTCCTCCACTGCCAGGGCAATTAGGCAAAGTGGTCACTGCCTCAGTTTTAACACCTGTAAAATGGAAATAAAACCCACCTTGAGTTGAGGGCATTAAATGTAAAAAGTTATGATCTGGCTAGGTCCCTAATGGTGTCTCCGCACCCTGTTCCATATTCTGAATTTAGGGGATTAAGGGGAGGGGAAAATTTTAGAAAGCTTTTAAAAATTAAGTTACTCTGAAAATTTCAGGTATAGGCTCGGTGTCTGTAGCACAGTGGTTATGGTGTTGGCCACGTACACCGAGGCTGTGGGGTTTGAACCCCAGCGTGGGCCAGCTAAACAACAATGACAATTGCAATAACAACAAAAATAAATGGGCGTTGTGGTGGGCGCCTGTAGTCCCAGCTACTTGGGAGGCTGAGGTGAGAGAATCGCTTAAGCCCAAGAGTTCGAGGTTGCTGTGAGCTGTGATGTCATAGCACTCTACTGAGGGCATAGTGAGACTGTCTCAAAAAAAAAAAGAAAATTTCAGGTATATAAAAAGCATATTGGGCTGGGCACAGTGGCTCACACTCGTACTCCTAACACTCTGGAAAGCTAAGGAAAGAGGATTGCTTGGAGCTCAGCTGATGCCATGTCATCAAAAAAAAAAAAAAGGCATATTGGATGATAATCAGTAGCCAGCGTTCCCATCATTCTTACCTGTTCATCAAGACAACCTGCCAGAGTCCCTGCCTAGTTGCATTACAAGTATTTTCAAATTTTGTAGCAAAATCTAACCTAAGGCCTTTCATAAGCTTTACTCAGTGAGAATAGGCATACGGTTTACTGCCCTGGAGCCTCTGGGGAGTGGGTGTTTTTTGTTTGTTTGTTTTAGAAGAGAGTCTCACTCTGTTGCCCAGGCTAGTGTGCTGTGGCATCAGCCTAGCTGGCAGCAACCTCAGACACCTGGGTTCAAGCGATCCTCCTGCCTTAGCCTCCCTAAGTAGCTGGGAATACAGGCATCTGCCACAATTCCTGCCTAGTTTTTCTGTTTTTAGTATAGAAGAGGTCTTGCTTTTGTTCATACTGGTCTCAAACTCCTGTGCTCAAGGGATCCTACTGCCTTGGCCTCCCAGAGTGCTTAGGATTACAGGCGTGAGCCATCGCCCCCAGCCAGGGAGTGGGTATATAAATTATATACACAAAGTTTAGGCTTCTAAATGGTCAGAA